GCCTGTAGTCCCAACTACCTGGGAGGCTGGGGCAAGAATTGGAGGTTGCTGTGAGCGGTGATGCCCTACCAAGGGCAACACAGTGAAACTGTCTCAAAAAATAGTAATAATAATAAGACTACGATCCTCAGCTTTGTGGATACACAAAAATCAGTTTTTAACCCATAATATCAAAATTGACCAAGCTTAAGGAAACTGACTCACTCTTACCAAATTCACACAAGACTGGTCTGAAGTAGAATGAAAATATATTAATTTACCATTAGTATTAATTTATTAATTTACCATTACTTTTCCAGTTATAAGAATACTCATATTATCTAATTAAGGTACCCCTATCTTATCAACCAAGTAATAAGAAGATTGCTTAGTAAGCAGAGAAGTAGCACAAAGGGAATTGGTTTGTCTTGAGGGAGATTTACTAAGCTATGGAAAATTCTGAACGACCTTGACTCCTAATAAAGTACACAGTCTCAGTAATCAAAACACCTCATGATTTCAAATTATATTGTTGCTTTCTCTTGGATAAATGTTAAGAATTCTAGTAAATTCCTTAATAGTCCATGTTTTCTAAAAAAGAGAAAGACTTCTAGTATTCTACTATTTACATCTCTACTTAACATGCGCTTTTTTAGCCTGAAGTTACAATGTAATTTTAGCCACATACCTTGTCAGTTTAATTGGACTTGGATGATCAACTGTTTATTTCAATTTTTCATAAGGTGCTTTATTCCTAAAGATGATTAAGTTTGTGCATTTTATGTTGAGTTATATTTATTAATAAGGTTCCTTATTTGTTTGACCTTCTCAAAATCTGAAAGTATGGTGTATTTACTGTTTTTAAATATTGCTTTTATCCAAATATGTGGTGTTTTCATCTTCATTACTCATATTTAGAAGTAGCAGACTAAATAAGTATAAATGGGATAATTAATGATATACACTAGGTTTGTGCCTCTTATTTATATAAGCTCATATGACTACTTAGTATTCTTGACTTTCTTTTATTCAAATTTAAATTTTTGCCTAGAAAAGTAAAACTAAATAGAGAATCATGACTTTGTTTTTAAAATCTGCTTAACCCAATCAGTTGTTTTTGGACTACACCATAAAATGCTATGAGCATTTTATGAACGGTGCCGACAGCTTTGAAGAGATGAACACAGAGTTGCAATCAAAGCTGAGTAAGTGTCCTCATTCCTAGTGAGCTTGCTTTTTTTAACTCTAGTGATGGAGTGGTAGCTTATTTCACCATATCCATTATTTATATGCGCTACTTACTTTAAATGCATTGGGATGCCTACTGATTTTTATTTTCATGGTTGCTTTGGTGGAGAGAAAAATAGTTATGCAGAAAAAAATACTAGTGTTAGACCTAGAGCTGAGACATAGCCCCTTCCTATCTTTCTGACTTTAACACTTCACTTGACAGGATTTATAGGATTAAATGGCAGTGGGAGAAAGTACATAATACACTACCAGGAGCACGGAAGATAATCAGCAAATGTTCTTTTCTCCTGGGGGATAATATTATTATATCCGTGCTTTACTCATTGAGAGAAATTAAAGCACCAGTTAGTCAAAAGATCTAAGGTCGCTTTCAAACCTGCAACATTACATTTGCAAATAAGCAAGGCAATTATTTTTCATTCAATATAGTCTAGTTTACTGGCTAACTCTAAAACATTCCAGAG